ACCCCACCCTGCCCCCACCCCAGCTATGGCCTCTACTCCAGTGCCACCATGCTGGTGCTGTCCACGGGCAACGGCACCCACGGCTTCACCTACGACTCACTGCTCGGCGAATGGGTCCTCACACACAGGTGGGTGCAGGGGAGGGGGGGTTTGCGGTAAGGATGTGTCAAGTCTGGGGCGATTTGTCGCAGCGAGCGGGCAGGCGCCGCAGTGCTGCATCACCACTGGGAGGGAATGCAGCAAATCCGCCAGCAAGTCCACCAGTATCTGCACCAACACCAAAATGGACACCCTCCCAACAACCCGTCCACCTGCTGCCTGCCCCGCGCTCCCTGCCATCATTATCACCAAACCCACCCCAACGCCCGACCAAAGGTCCATCACAATCCCGAAGCGCGGCGTGATCTACTCCCTCAACGACGCACGCCAGTTCGACTGGCCCGACGGCCTGTGGCGGTACATCGACGCGATACGGCAGGGCAAGGGGCAGCACCCCAAGCAGTACAGCGCGCGCTACATCTGCAGCCTGGGTGCGTCATTGTTGCATCGACTCACCAACTTGTGGACCAATGCGTGCGACGGGGGTCAAGGCAGCGGAGGCCCAGGGTCTGTGCGAAAACCGCACGGCGCTGTCCAACAGTTGAGTTGGCACCGGGGGCAAGGCGTGGCCGCAAGGCGTGACCTGGCATGCCTACCACTACCTCGCCTCGCCGCGCCAATTCCCTTGTGCGCCCGTCGGCCCCGCCCCTGTACGCAGTCGCGGATTTCCACCGGACACTGCTGTACGGCGGCTGGTGCGCGCGCCACCTTGCGCAGTCTGCCCTCGTGCTGCTGGCAACCTGCTGGCATGGCGCTGATGATCTTACCGGTTGCACGTTTTCCTGGCCGGAGCCCACAGGACCAGCTACCCCAACAGCAGCCGTGTGTGTCCATCAGGTTGCTGACTCAGCGGGCCAGCCGCACCCTCCGGGTAACCCACCCTGCGCTGCCCCCGCCCCCATCCCGCAATTGGCCCAGGTGCGCCAACCCGCGGCCCCACCTGCGGCTGGTCTACGAGGGCAACCCCTTGGCCATGCTTTCGGAACAGGTGCTTGTTGCTCACAGACTGTGCTGGTGTCGGCAGTCAACAAGTGGGACGCCAGGCCCTGTCCGCACCCTGCAACCGCCGCACACCGCGGTGGCTGCCTGGTGTTGACGGCGTCACGGGTTCCCTCTCAGCAGCGACCTTTCCTGCCTTCTTCTTTACCAAAGACGGCCATGTGGCCCATTTGCGACCCACGTCTCGCTGACACAAACCTGCCCTCCGCCCCTGTGGGCGCCCAAACAACACTCAAACACGGCCAGGCTGGCGGCCGTGCCAGCGACGGCGTTCGGCGCGTGCTGTCCATTGCACCAGAGGCGCTGCATCAGAAACTGCCGCTGTTCCTGGGGAGCCCTGACGACATCGCCGAGCTGGAGTCTTACGGCGACGTGCAGCAGGGGGGCGGCAAGAAGTACGACGTGTGACGCTTGGATGCTGCAGCGGCCGAACCAACCATTGTGCAATGACAACAGAATGACTGTGGTGCAGGTGCGTGCGCAAGTGTGTAACCAAGCACGACCGCCGGTCAAGTACATGCCTTCAAAACCTACATTGAGGCTTATGCGCTTCCTGTGAACTGCTGTGGTTCAACGCGCACGCCCGGCCGCAGCTCCACCACAGTCTGCGCTGTTGCTGCCGCCCCGCGCAGCTGCCAGGTCAGCATCAAGCAGCCGCGCTGCATAAGCCGCCAGCACCCAGGCCTCCACTGCTGCAGCCAGGGCGCGGCATGGCAGCAGCAGCCAGCCCCAGGCCGCGCGCGCCTGCCAGGCGCTGGCTGGCAGGTGCCTTTGGTGGGATTGGGAGGTGGGTGGGCCGCGAGGTGCTTGACCAAAATCCAGCGAGCTGATGCATCGTCTAGCGGCCAGTGAGGATCTACTCTGAGCAGCTTGTTGGAGACAGACTTCACCCATTTACACTGCATCACACTCCCCCAAATCAAAGTACAGGCAGCGTTTGGCCCCCCACCAAACTCACCGTGCAGCCCAGGCCCACAGGGGACAGCCCATCAGCCCCGCCACCGCCGCCGCACCCAGGGGTGTCCTGAAGCCGTCGGCCATGACCGCCGCAGCCCAGGGCGGGGCGGCTGCAAAGAAGGCGCTCTTCCACTCAGCGCCTGCGGCCTACCGGAGGGGGGGGGGTGGTAGGGGATATGGATGCAGGCAGGCGACATCCCGGACAAGAGGCTGCCGAATGACGAAGAGCGTGAAGGGCAGGAAGGGCGGCGGAGCTGGGGGGTCCGTCCCTCCAAAGCACTAGAAGCAGTTTTCATGCAGTCTTGATACAGAAGACTGCGCTGCGCCCATATGAGGGATGGCAGTGGCATCATCACCCTCGCATGCCGTAGTGGTGGGGTGTCAGCTGCAACAACCATCGGCGACACCCGCGCGCACACCGCATGTGTGAAGGCAAACACGGTGGACTCCAGCAGCATTGCCAGGGCCCCCAGCCCTCCAGGTAGCGCGCCACACCAGAGCCAGCCGCGAGTTGCGTTGTCGATGACAACGTCCAGGACAGCGCCAAAGGACGTCGCCTGCGGCAGAGAGTTTGTGGGGTGTGAGTTCGCACGGCCATCTAGAGTAATGGTGGTTGGGATCTGTGGACAGCCCAAACGATGGTCGATTCCCAATCCCAGTGCAAGCCAGGTGCACTCGCATCGGCCGTACCGTCATTCAAATCAAGCTGCCACTACCGAGCTCCACCCCTCGCTGTTTCGCTCACCTGCCCAAACCTTCGCGCCAGCAGTCCGTCCAGGCCGTCCAGTGCCAGGCTGGCGGCCGCTAGCCACCACGCGACGACGGGGCGGGTGGGTGCGCATGCGATGGCCCCCGCCAACAGTGCGACCCTCAGCCATCCCACGAGGTTGGGAGCATTGAGCAGCACCTGCGCAGCTGTGGGCACGCCAGGACCCGACCTATTAGTTGGTGCTTGCGTAGCCATATTTTGCACCTCAAAGTCTGGGGTACATCAGCCATACCAGCGACAGTTCCCCAACGCAAACGCACGCGCCTGGCTGCGAGTGGTCGGTCGCCACCTCGGCGGCCCAGCTTGCGCTGCCATCTATCGCTGGAGCTTCCGGGAGTCAGCTCGATACTGGCTCCAGCTGCCCCAGCAGAGTGCTGATTGTAAGATCTCAAGTTCCTGGCCCTGGTGCCTGTTCATGCTGCCCACTCGAGGGACGCTGTAGCTGCCGCAAAACGCAGCGCGCTGTGGAAGGGTGACGTTTGGCGATGACCAAACCGTGCATTGGCTCAGGTAACCGTCAAAGGCGGCCCCTACGCGCACTACAACCGTACTATTGCTTTTATCACATTCACTAGCCCTGCGAAGCCACCGATCAGATCCCTATCTGTCCGCGCGCAACGTGCGTTCTTGGTCGCAAGGGTTACATGAAAGTGTCGCAGTGCGCATCGTGACATTGCCTGCAACCTTCAACCGCATTTACATTGGGACAGGACGCATCACAAACGGGCACAACGCAGCAGCAGCGGACACTGCGGTGACAGTGAAGCAACGGCTAGCGAGCAGCAGCCAAGGCTCACTTTTCGCAACATGAAGCGGATCTTGTTGATACGGCATGGCCAGGTGACCAACCTTTTCAACTGTAGCACTATGCTGACGGCGCATACATCGACTGGGCGGCAGAAATCCCGCGCCAGTTGCGCCTCGGCCGGAGCCCTCCAGCGGGCGCCCCACCCCTGCAATGCGAGCCCGCACCCACCACACTTCTGACCCGTGTCCCTTACAAAGAGCGAGATGAACCTGAAGATGGCTGCCATCGTTGGGGGCCAGTCCAACAGCTCACCGCTCACACCTCTGGGGGAGCAGCAGGTAGGCGGGCGGCCTGCCCTCCGCTGCCGCTCCCTGCAACTTCCCTCGTCACAAGCCACTGCACAACAGCCGAGCAGTGAGCAAAGTGCATGTTTGAATGTTAGCAGGGCGATGTCACAGCCATCACTGTGGGGCATTAATGCTGACAATCTTTGCAGAGTAGGCGCGCTGACTGCGCTTTATACCCGAACGCCTTGCTGGCAGGCCGCGGCGCTCGGGCGCCACCTGCGGCGCCATTTACATCCGCACGCGAGCCCCGCCCTGGTGGCCGCGTCCACCGCCGTCCGCGCGCGGGACACGGCGCGGCTGATGCTGCGCACAATGGACCCTCCAGCGCTGTCTGGACTGTGCCTTGAGGAGTCCGAGGCGCTCCTGGAGCTAGACCAGGGTCACTGGGTGGGTCAAGCGAAACATGGGCACCTTGGGGCGTGGAGGTGGGGGGCGAGGTGGGGGATTGATGTATGGGAGGGTGCTGAGCCCAGGGCAGGAGGGGCCGCAGCGGGGCATCTTGTCTTGGGGCGCTGACATGGGCACGTGAGCCGGCGCGCCTCGAGCCGGCCTAGGCCCACATGTCGTGGACGGAGGCCGTGCTGCACCAGGGACCTGAGCGGCCTGACGCCCGCCCTCGCCGGACGCAGGAGGGCCTGCCCCGTGCCGAGTGCTACACAGCCGAGGCCCTGGCAGACATCGCCGCAGACCCCTGGAATTTCGCCGCCCCAGGTGACCAGGGTCTGGCGGCGTAACCCGCCCCTAAACGGTGCTCACTACGCCGGGTATGCGGCCGACTCCCTCACCAGCAGCAGCGAGTGCGTGCATCATGTGATTCAAACTTCATGCTGTGATCACGCCCGTCCACTATCACGGCAGTTCTTGCAGACCCACCCTGTAAATCGAGTACGCCCCATCCTCATTTCTCAAGGTGGGGAGTCGCAGGCGGACGTGGAGCGCCGCGTGGCCGCGTTTGTTGAGGGCAAGGTGCTGCCGCGGCTGGAGGCCGGGGGCCCTCCAGCAGTGGTGGTCGCGCACGGCCTGGCCATAAAATGGTGCGGCAGGGGCATCTGGGCCAGGGAGCCTCCTGCCCTGAGGGAAGGCTGGGCAGGCTGTGTGAGCGGGTGCATGAGTGCGATTGTAGGCGACGAAAACTTTTGAGGTCTGTGGAGAGGACGTGATTGCTGTCATGAGTACGGCTGTCGCCACGTCAGGCACGCCGACCACACACCGTGTATGCAAAAAGCTTCATGTGCGCCTTACAGCCAGCACACATGGTGCTTGCATTTTTGGCTAGCGCTTGACTCCCCTTCCCTCCCCCTCTCAACACATACACACACAACCACATATTGTGGCAGCTTCCTCCGCGGCGTCCTGGGCAGCCAGGCGGGCATGACCTGGAAGGTGAATAGACATGGGATGGGGGGGATGGCTTGAAAATGTGCCGGCGTCCTGATTCCCGCGATGTGCATGCAGAGGGCAGGGTAGACGGGGAGGGCACGGGAAGTTGGGTTGACACTGGTCAGCTGCCGCTGCCAAGACGCCTTCATGCGACCACCTAGCACGGGTCAGTGCACTACAGTAATGTCCTGCATCTGCACAACAATGCGCTGTGCAGCGTCCCTGCGCCTTCATACACCGGCTAGGGCTCCTGGCTCGCGCTCCTCCTGCAGATCAGGCTGGACAACACTGCGCTCGTGGCGCTCGGATGGGTGGACAGCGGGGCAGCCGCAGGGTGGCATGTCTTGCGCGTGAACGACACAGCACACCTGGACTTGGAGGGTGTGGAGTGCCACTGACACTTGTGGCTGGTGGCAACATGCTTTCGACTTTTTTCGACAATTTCATCAGGTTTTGGCACAGTGGTGGCTAAATTTGGAAAGAATTTTATGTTGCCATTGCTGTGTCATTGTTCTAGCGCATTATTCCTGAAGATTTTAGTGAGCGGGTAATTGTGCCGGAAGCTGCACTCGTTTCAGCAGACTGCGCGTCTGCTGGGGGCACTTGAACATTCCAAACATCTGTCGTTGCACAAGCTCGTCACCGTGTAGCTGGATTGTGGCTGCTGCTCTATACACCCCCAGTATGCAATTGAGGGTTCCTTGCGTGGAGCGAATGTTTCAAAAGCACGCCCAACTGCAATTTGTTTGACCTGCCTGGCCCCTGCATGTGCAGCTGCCCAATGCTCATGCACGCTGTGCTGCTAATCCAAACCGCACGTCTGTGCCGATTCCATTATCCAGCTGCAGCGAAGCTGAAAGCGGTTACACAGGTGGGGAATGCATGGGCCCGGCGACGCCAGCAAGACTGACAATCCATGCATGTGTGCTCTGCGGATTGTGCTGTGGGGCAAGCCAGAGGGCGTGTATTTGTAAAATCAGGGTGCGACGGATCGGCTGCCTCGATTGAAATATGCGGGAGTGCGCAACAACAATGAGAGGGCTGGCGCTGGAGGCCGAGGGTCAGCAAGGTGGAGCCAGAGCAAGGTCGCCAGACTGCGTGGAAGCGCAAGCGGGCGTTGCGCATGCGATGGCACGAACACCATGCACCGACAGCATGTGAGTGACATCCTGTGGGCGCAATGGAGGCTGATTTGGGACAAATGCGT